AACCTAACATGCGATTCCTCCAATGTGGTGTACCTACTCGAATGCAACGTGTGTGGTATGCAGTACATCGGACAAACAGAAACACCATTTAGGATTCGCTTCAATAATCACAGAGCCCATGCGAAATCAGCCCCAATGTCTACCTTCTATCAAAACATCTCAATCTTCCCGACCATGCATTCGACAAACTATCAGTAACGCTCTTAGAGACGGGATTTAAATCAAATCGAGAACGTGAACAACGAGAGTCATACCTTATCCACCGATTTAACACCCTCGATAGAGAAATAAATGAGAATCCTGGTACACTTGCAGCAATTAAAGCATTAGAAAACAATAACGGCAACAATGAAAATAGTAACTGAGTTCACGGCACTGCAGCTGCGAAGGGCACTGGACAACGCAAAACAATTCCAAAAGTAACTACTCTTCCTAAGTGCAGCTGTTGTCTGTTTTCTGTTTTATTTTACTACCCAATCAATTGTGCCATGCACGACATGCCCAACAGCAACCATGGGCACAGCCGGGAAACCCCCACGACACGCGTAATTTAGAAGCGGGCAAGGAATTCGCATTGCACGCGCTTGCACAGCCTACCGCAATACAGGGGCACCCCTATTTTACGACGAAATGTTGACAGGGGGCGGAGTAGTTAAAGGCTTAGGACTTCCTAAAATGCCCGCTGACCAGCCTCTTCCACAATACGCGGCCCCCGTCCTTCTACGACGAATTGTTTACAGGACCCCGAGTAGTTAAAGGCTTAGCACTTCCTGAAAAGCTCTTTTTTGCCCCACACCGAACCGCCAGTGCCAGGAGGGGCCGTCTGATCGGGAGGAATGCGCTAGTGAACGGAACATACACAGACCGCTGACATCAGAAAGGTGAAGGGGAGAGGGGGGAGGGAGATGGGGGGGAAGTGGAAGGAAAAGTGGAAGGGGGGCACCCGAGGGGCGTTCACCGTATATTATTTTTCTCTTTTTTCTTTTTTTTCTTTCCTTTTCTTGTCTTTCTTTCCTTTTTTTTCCCTCTTTCCTTGCCCTCTGATTTGAGATTGTATAAAGCTGAGCACCAACAAACTGTATCTTTATTCCTGATGAAGGCCAGACTCTAGGCCGAAACGTCGAAATAAACCACGTTGTGACCGCTCACGGAGGATCTACTAGACTATACGCAACGCTACGGCCACTCAACCACCATGCCTGCCTATATATATATATATATATATATATTTATATAGCGTGACCAGCCCACATCGTGTGTGAAGGGTGTGTCCAAACCAACGCAAGCCAACATAGTCACTCCCAGGATTCCTGCATGAACGCAGTACGAAGAGGTGCAAGGTTTCCACGATGCCTTCTCATCACCGAAAGTGGCACTGACGAGCAAAGGTGCATCTTTATGCATATTAGTATTATCATCATCAGGAGTGAAATCATAAGGTATGCATCATAATTGCATACCTTTAACGACATGATTCTCCGCATTATTACGGTTCGATCTTCAGATGTGCCAATTAATACTAAAATATTTGATTTACATCACACTTCTAGAATTCAAACACCACAAAACCAGAGCTACATAACAAGCATTAAAATCTGCAGAAAAACTGCATACCTTTTGTAAATTTGAAGAATTTGATGCATAAATCAATGCCCCTCCCCTACCCGATGCTCTGTCGAAAACGTCGTACCAGTGTACTAGTGCAACGAATAGAGCATGGCATTGTGTGTGCGGTCGAGTGAGCTGCATTAAAGCGTTGAAATCATACTGAAGAGAACTACTGAAACAAGTGGGCAAGCTACTGCAAAAAATTAAGAAATATGTGAGCATTCTCCAGAGTTATCCCAAAAGGATGCACCCACTGTGAACACCGTGCAGACGAGATTTCATTGCTCCACCCACTTGAGAAAGGAAGCTTAGAGAACTAAACTGAGATTTCAAGATCAACACGTCGGTGCTATACTGTGTCTAGCGAGTCTTTGTTTTCATGTGTGTGGGCATGGTAGCAGGCATGACAGTGTCACTGCTTCTCAAACGTGTCGAGCAGCTAGGCATCCTCTGTGACAACTTCAAATGAGTGCATATCATCATCATCAGCCCGACTACGTCCACTGCAGGACAAAGGCCTCTCCCATGTTCCGCTAGTCAACTCGGCATATAGCTGCATATAGTATTTATAAATAGTTCCATCTAATGTCGAAATTTCCTGTATAGGTGCTGCGAAAGTAATACGGAGCACGCGAGCTGTGGCCAAATTACACAAGAGTGAATACCACCACGCTCCAGTAAAGAAGTGGTTCCTTATATTCATACAGAAATGATTGCACTACATTCTGGCCCATTGCGCATAAAAATAGAGAACGTCTTTTTCTATAGCGTGCACTGACATTCACTTCTACGTAGATTGGCCGCAGCTTGCGTGCTCCGCATTGCATTTGGAGTATCTCTACATTGTTTGCTGTACGATAAACTGTTTTCATCTTTGGTTAGTGAAAAAAATTTTCTTGCAGAAGTCAGTTGTGCAATTTGTAGGTAAAATTGTTTAAATATTTCATTGGTTCTGCTCGAACTTTCTGTGAGTGTTGTGAATGTTAACCTGTGGTTTTTTTTCCGCTTTCTTTAACTTGTTTTGTGAGTTTTTATGCTTATTACTGTAAAGAAATGGAATGTGTTGTACTTGAACTGTCTCCCTTGCCATGATGCCTTCAAGGCAGCCTAAGTATTCTATAAAATAATGAATAAAAATTTGAACATATTGGCATTTTGTTTTAATTATTTAAATTCAACTCGCAGTTAAAATTTCGATATATATACACACTTACTTGTTAAACAAAAGCGAAACATAGGCTTCAAGCTCATGCTCTAGCTCTTAGCACCAACGTGAGTACGGTCTGCGGATCTCCGAAGTTTCGTATGCAGATATAGTTCTTGCCATTTGATTAGATAGATTGTTTTTCAAAAGTAATATTTGTTCTCATTGCAGCGTGAACAATAGCACACGAAATGGTCTTGAGCGAGGGAAATTGATGAAAATGCTAACTGTTCAAGATTTTTTATTTCTTCAGGAGAGCCACCATAGATCAGCTTCTTAAACAGATCAGCGGTTGCCATACGAATGCTCCTTCACTCGAACGAGACGCAATTAAGCGAAGCGGGAGGGGTGAGTACATCTTGCAAATGAAAGGACATGCAAGCCCAGGTCCCCAGTTCAAATGCTGTAAAGTACTACCCTAACTTCTTGTAGTGAAGTTACGAGGTCCAGTCTCAGTAGTACATCAAGCATATGACAGGTTGACTAGGCAGTGCGTGGCGTATCGGAAGTATTGATTAAATTGATTGATTTGTGGGGTTTAACGTCCCAAAGTATTGATTAAAGTCTGGTTGCATCAAAGAAGAGTTTTTTTGCCTAAAATACTGCATTGCAATCACCATAGATGAAGCAGGATGGCGGGTGTGTTCGAGTCGGGCTCATGCAGTGAATAACTTTATTGCTAGAATAAGAACAATTGGGCATAGTAAAACCAGTGCTGAAGTGGACAATGTGCATTAGGGATGTACATGTTGAAGTGGCACTTATTCAGCCTTGCCGCATCTCTCCTTCTACAAGGGAATTAACACATGCTTGGCGTCTCCTGGGTAGAAGGTACCACTGGAGCTCGCGTTGTTACATGCCTTGTGCTTCGCTGTAGTTCATTAGGGGTGTTGAGGGTAATCTGTTTAAAAGAGCCACTCAACAGGTCTGACAATATTGAGCTGACAAGCGCTATGTGTAGACGAGGCGTTTATGATCACGTCTGTCAAAATTCGCAACGCTATGCGCCACGAAATGGGTCAAATTTCAAGATGAAAGCTGCTCCCTCTCCCTTCTGCCGGCGCGCGCCCAGAGAATGAGGGCTTGACGTGCGCGTATGAATGGCCCTGCGTACACGTCAATGCAGTGACGTTGGCCCTCTATGTAGACGAATCTGCTCTGACGTTGCAAACAGAGGCACATGACATGGCGAAAATTATTTAACACGGCATGCTTATTTTATGTAATTTGTTGCTTGAAGAGATTAAAAAGCTCTAGATAAATAATGAGACGCAAAAAGGTAATGTGAGCGTCTTTTTTCCATTTTTCTTCCGTGAATTGCAACAAGATGCGAGGCTAATGTGTCAGTGTTTTGCATGTGTTCATGTACCCGCCGTCAGCGTATCGAGCAGAAGACTGCCGTGGAACGCTCCTACATGTTTGCGCACTCATTGTGCTCATCTATCCTACCGCGTCTAAGCCAGCGTTTCCAAACCATCCCGCAGAAACAGGCAGAAGACCACAAAATAACGCTGGTCAACAAAGCAACGCCGCTCGCGTGCTCAGGGGTTGGACTTGTTTGGGCACGTCATGCGCACGTGACCTCTTGGTCGGATGCATGAGAGGGTGAGGAAGAGCTTTGGCTTGCGAAGGCTACACAGAGGAGCGGCAAGGGTTTCAAGTCGCCTCTCTCTATCTTCGTTTCGCGCCGCTTCAAAAAACCCGTTTTCTCCGCTTGTGATGAATCGATTAAAAAATTGTTGTGGCAAAATGTTCCTCATCGGACAACCAACAACTTCCACTGTAACTAAAATTTGGTATGGGGCCTGGTGAGTGGTCCTTTAAGGGTGACGGACAAGGGCTCGTTTCTGCCTGGCTCAATTTCGGTTAATATTCACATATGCACTACGGTATCTTTCACAACCATATCGTGGCTTAGTAACCTTAAGCCTTAGGCCCCCACAGTTATTATTGTGCATTGAGATTCATTTGTAATGTGCTGCCAGTTTGTTGTGACATCTTACCTCTCTTTGTCTGTAGGTTATGAAGCAGTTTCCTTTGGATTGTAGAGGACAAAGATCAGTGGCTACAGGACCCACAAAAGTCTTGAAAGGGATCAATGCGTTTACACAGTGCCGCATTCGAAAAGAGGTTGCTGACAAGACCACATGAAGCAAAGGACCCACAGAAGTCTTGAAAGGGATCAATGCGTTTACACAGTGCCGCATTTAAAAAGAGGTTGCTGACAAGACCACATGGAGCAAAGGACCCACAGAAGTCTTGAAAGGGATCAATGCGTTTACACAGTGCCGCATTCGAAAAGAGGTTGCTGACAAGACCACATGGAGCAAAGGACCCACAGAAGTTTTGAAAGGGATCAATGCGTTTACACAGTGCTGCATTCGAAAAGAGGTTGCTCACAAGACCACATGGTGCAAAGGCATCTCTGAGGCCAAGTTATACTCTCCCAAGGTCTCAAGCTGAACGCAGTTTAAATGTCTCAAAGAAAGTGACGATGCTTCTTGATTGCCGGAACCGCCATCGCTAATCGTACGTAAGACACCACTGTGCATCTAGCAGTCACATCCATGTGCCACAGAAAAGCATGCGTTCGTGTTTGTCATTGTGTGAAAGGGGCACCAAGAACGGTCTGTGCAAAAAAGAAGTCAGACACTAGTGTTGCTGTGGTAAGCAAATCACACAGCTGTTGCAAAAAGAAAGCAGGACAGTACACCGTGGCCACACCACGTAAACATAGCATACAATTGGGTTGGCAAGTCATCGTATCACATACTTTGGGTGGATACAATTGGTAGATGACGAAAACTGTACACAGTAGCTGAATTATTTTAATGTGGAGGAATTCTGACTGGAGTTGGCTGATCTTGCATAGCGATAGATAATGATGGCTAATATTATTTTGTGATGATTAATATTATTATCATATTATTTAGCCATTGCATAAACAATGGCTAAATGCTGGGTTGTGTTGACTAAAGTGTTGGAAATTCTGCCACAGCGTCCCTCACCATGTCGTCGTTTTGAAATGTGAAATACCAAGAATGAATATTTTTATTAATATAATTAGGTAACGATGGCTTGTGTTGCCATATAAGGGCTATGTGATGAACTTCCAGGCAACACCTATGCACTGTCTGAAAAAAATCTCCAGGAGAAAGCTTCTGCTGCAATCTATTAAGGAAATGTTAGGAGGCAAATATACCCACAATGACCGCCGAGAATGTTGGCAACTTATTTGTCTAGAAAACCCACGTTAAGTTATTTTACATATCCGAATAATGCACTTGTGAGATTCCACAAACCAGCTGCAAAAGCTGAAGACAGTTCAAAATAGACAAGACGAACGAACGTACACAATGGACTAGCACTGAGGGTCCACCACAAACCAAGTCTTGCCAGAAGTGGAGTCTTGGTAAGCCAGAAGTGGAGTCTTGGTAAGCCAGAAAAGAAAAAAGTATGCGAAAAATTTCTTGCCCACAGTACAACCATTTCATATAAACAATATACACTATTTTATCACTAGACAGTCATTAAGTCGTTTTCTCATGGAACATGAAACTCAACATTTGCTTTACATAAGAGTTTTTGAAGTTGTGGCTATGAGCACCGCTGTGAAGTCTTGAAAACCTGACTGTCTCGAAATGTTGATGAATGTTCATATGTACAGGGGGGAGTGGGGCAGGCTACCAGGCCACGCTCCCATAGGAATAGATGGGATAGTGGCCTGGAAACTTTCAATAACCCCTCACCCCCCCCCCCCCTTACATTGAAGAGTATTTACGCAATAACACAGAAGCATGGTTCACGCAAACCTTGAGTCTACGGGCTTAAATTTTTCTCCCAATCACAAAAAATTGTTTGGTCTAACGTCACACTACCTTATCAACCGTGGGTCTCAACAATATGAGAAAGGAGAAGAGGCCATTAGACACGACGTGGGATTGTCCAGCCATCCACATCACTAGCCATCAATACCGACAGAGGCGATCACTTAGATAAAGCTTAGTTTACTTAAGCAACACTCGGTGACATCAAAAAGGTTTTGCATGCGCAGGCAACTATCCTGTGGTGCAAGGGAACAGCTCTATTGATGATATACGTATTGAGAATAGGTAAGAAGGGGGGGGGGGCACCTGCACCTTTGCCTTCATGCAGTGAGTAGTTTCCCACATGATCATGACTTCTGTTGATTTTAAGTTAGCCACAGGTGCCTAGAAGCGGCCGTTAAATGTGAAGGTAAAATTAAGGAAGAGCTGAAAGCCTTCAGCATCAGCTCATTGTGCCTTAGTGACGACACACCAAAACCCGAGGTTGTGTTTTTGGACTGACTATGCCTCACTGTGTAATTACTCCATTTATCAGTACCTCGGTGATGAGCCACAGCAACGTTACAGCAGTGCACAGTTGCTATTACAATCTTGGTGATCCTAGATTTATGTTTTTTGATAAGGTGGTGTTCGTTATGTGATTGAGTCGAAGGACAGCGCTTATGTGCTCTTTTAAGCTGGGGTGTCATGATGTGGTGAGCACGCACAACTCTCACGATGATTGTGCAGTTTGGTTCGTCTTCACCAGGACATACTAGGCTTGCAGAATTGGAAGCTTTCGCCAGGGTTCGTGTGTTTTCAACGTTCCCAGTTTGCCCACTACCTTGGCGTGCGTCCTCAGGGTTCCCAGCTGCTTACCCGAAAGTTACAGCTTCGATCCGAGCCACAGCGGTCGCATATTTTCTACTGGCGAAAATGGCAGGGGCTTATATACTTCAAACCTCATTATAACAAACTTGCATCTTACACGAAAATAACTTCGTTACATCCGAAAATTTGTTATAAAGGTATAATTTTAACACTACAGCTGTTGCAAGACTATTTTTCATTCACTTTGTTATAACCGATATTTGTTATATCCACGTTCGTTATATCGAGGTTTGAGTGTACTTAAAGAAATTTACATGCACCTGAGGTATGCGAAATTTCCTGAGCCATCCACTACAGCGTGCCTCATATTTGTATAGTTTCAATATGCAAAACACCAAAAATATTGTATTACACTTCCTCGTATACTTTATATTCTCTCATGCCAGTCTCCCGACACCGGAACAGTGAAGCTTATTTTGTCTTTTGACCTCTTTTCAGCGATGCCTCTAGCTTCTAGAAGTTTACTGAGGACCAGCAGTCGAAAGGAAGAAGAAGCAGATGATGATGGCGTAATAGGAGCTCAAGGTAGACACAGATTAACAGCGAACTCTGCTTGCACGGTAGAAGATACGGAAGGGCCTGCCACAGTCGGGAAGAGTCTTGTGCCAATGGACTTTGTTCGCGAAAGTTTCAGTACCTGAATAAGGCTTCAACTTTTTGGAATTGTCATAGCCTCAAGCCTTTCCAGTGCAACTTGTGTCTACAGACAATTGTGACGTGAAGTCATCTGCTTGAATTCCACATGGACAGAGTGAAGGCAAACCTGAAGGAAAATTACAATAGAAATTTATGTTCCTCCTATAAAAAACACGTTTCCCATAACAGGAGGGGTGGGTCCAAATAGGAAGTGCAATACGTCCCAAAGAAGGCATTAAATTTTTTTAAGAGGGCAACAAAGTGTTTTACAATGTGAATCAAATGCTGCATATGTGATCAATAGAGTGATGTACACCTCCACTAGACAGATATTATGCTTCATAGTCTGTCTCAACTAGGCTTGTGCGAATATTCAAATGCTGCGAATATTTGAACGAATAGTAGTAGAGTATACGAATCTGCTTTGATTCGAATTTGAAGTATTGAAACTTTCGAAGTATTCGCAATGAACAAATAAGTGTATATTATATTGCACGTAACCTCCTGTAAAAGTGGTTTCACTGAGGTGTAGAGGTGACAAGCCGTGAAGGCATCTAAAAAAAATCCGTTCTGCCGCGTAGTTCTACTTCAAATTCAATGGGGCCCTGCAATTGATTGATTTGATTGATATGTGGGGTTTAACGTCCCAAAACCACCATATGATTATGAGAGACGCCGTAGTGGAGGACTCCGGAAATTTCGACCACCTGGGGTTCTTTAACGTGCGCCCAAATCTGAGCACACGGGCCTACAACATTTCCGCCTCCATAGGAAATGCAGCCGCCACAGCCGGGATGCGAACCCGTGACCTGCGGGTCAGCAGCCGAGTACCAAAAGGGGGCCGCGCAACACTTCTTGTGCATGGTCACTGCCGATCGGTAGTCGAGGCTACCGATCACGCGAGCCTAATATTTTGGCACAGCGCGCGGCCTGAAATTCACAACAAATCCTCGAAGTCAGCTAAAAATTGCTCTCTTCTGTCTGCAAATGACGCCACAAGCTCAAAAATCTCTCGTCACAGCCATTCAATCAGCCATTGCTTGATTTGGGCATTGCGCACTGGGTCATTACTGGGGTCGCAGCGGGAGGCCGCGACTTGTCCATGTGTACGTGCGCGATCGCACTGAAAAGCCGCGTATTTGAAGAAAAAAAAATCGCAGCATATCCACGGAGTGAATGATGAGTGGGGCGAAGCGTCCGTCAGCCCATCCGTGCTTCCGTCCGTCCATTCGATCTTGCTTCTGCCCGTCCGCGCGACCATCCCTGCGTCCATCTATGCGTCGGTCCGTTTGTGCGTCTATCCGTCCGCGCGTCCGTCCGCCTTCTAGTCTGTCCGTCCGTGAGTCCATATAGATAACACTCGAGTACCGCCATGTCGCATGCCCTGTGACACATATCCACTCCGCGCTTCCGTCCGTCTGCTAGTCTGTCTGCCCGCCCGCCCATGCGTTTGTCCGTGCGTCCATATAGTGAACACTCCAAGTACCGCCATCTCGCATGCCCTGTGGCACATACCCGCTCCAGAACGGGTATGTGCCACCAGTGGCTACATACACCAACGGGGGATGGACAGGCCCACACCAAGAGGAGCTTCGCCCCTAAAAGTGCTCCAGGTCACGATGCGTGCGTGACGTATTTTCTTTACCCGTGTCATCCCTTCCTGCTTAGCTTTCAGCGCTTTCGTCAGCACTAGAAGAAAGAATACAGTTGCAGCACGCGAATTTTCGCAATTTCGCTCGTACTTGACGGATTCTATAAAAGATTACGGTGGTGAATTCGTGAGGCAATAAGATTCTTTAGTGAATCCAAGGCTTCTTGAAAAAGTGTTGCAGGGCTCCTTTAAATGAACATATCGCCCACAAACCGATTCACCATATATATTGAAGCTCGTTATGTCGGCTTATATTCCATATAAGTATACAAAAAAATTTTGATGTTACATATTTGACAGGTTATCACTTACATCTACCAAAAGTGGAATTCTGGTACTACTGACAGTTGTTTTACCTTTCTTTGAATGAAAAAAAAAAGAATTTGCATAGGAGCATTATTTCATGCTTCTTGATTATTGTGCAGGTTAATTGATAAGTATGCCCATTTTTCTGTATATGTCATATATACTGCATGAATTCGATTCGAAATTATTCGACCAATCTCACTATTCGCTTCGAACTTAAAATTCACTATTCGCACAAGCCTAGTCTCAACAGATGTAAAAAGTAGATATTGTATTAAGTAGTTTGGTAACCGCATGCACACATTGGCGCTTGCTAGACAGAACCTATGGTTGGAAAGTAGGCACTAAATCTGACCACCTTGCATGTTGATAGACCCCTTGGGCCATGTGACACTCGTCTTGTCATAGCAACTTTTGGTTTGTTATATCTATGTAGACCACCTTCATTGGTCTAAAAAGGTATAGCAATTCTATATTCCTCTTTGTCTGTACACATATTTGCATGTGTATACCATTAATAACAGTTGGTGGTTTTCCAGCAAGAGATACCATAACAGTAATTGAGCAATTCAAAACAGAAAATTGTTTTTCCCTTCAGCGTCCCTTTCAGAGAAGAAATTTTCACTGAAGGCTTTCCTTCAGTGGTCTAAACAGATATAACAATTCTATTTTCCTCTTTGTATCTACACACTATTTGCATGTCTATACCCTTAGTAACCGCCCCGCCGTAGTGGTACTGGTTCATTTAATGGTACTCGCTTCATTTAAGGTACTCGGCTACTGACCCGCAGGTCGCGGTATCGGATCCCGGCTGCGGCGGCTGCATTTCCGATGGAGGCGGAAATGCTGTAGGCGCGTGTGCTCAGATTTGGGTGCACGTTAAAGAACCCTAGGTGGTCGAAATTTCCGGAGCCCTCCACTGCGGTGTCTCTCATAATCGTATGGTGGTTCCGGGATGTTGAATTCCACATATCTGTCAATATCAATACCCTTAGTAACCGAGAATGTTTTTCCAGCAAGATATTCCAAAACGGTAATTGAGCAATGCAAAACGAAAAATTACTTTTAGAATCCGTCCAGTACGAGCGGAGTTGAAAAAATTTGTCGCATGCTGCCACTGTAATCTCTCTTCTAGAGCTGACGAAAGCGCTGAAAGCTAAGCAGGGAGGGATGGCACGGGTAGAGTGTACTAGAAGCTTTTGAGTGGCGCGAGCGGCTGCCTGGGAGCGGCCGTTTCGGCGTGGAATGATGCGGTGGCGCTGGCGTCGACAAATCTACCCGGGCGGATGGCTGGCAGGCGTTCCGCGTACGTGTTGGTACCTCTCTGTCGCGCCAAGTGTGAAGATGAGCCCCCTCTTTTTTTTCTTATTCACATACCTCCCCTTTTCCGCGCAAATAAACGTTATTTGACATTATTGTTATTGAAGTTGCTGCTGACCGCACTGCAGCCCGAAGCAGCATAGTACATTGTACAATATAACGAGCGCGTTTTTTTTTAAATTTTTAAAGTGTACATATTTTATACGAGAAACCAGCTGGCCGGTACACACCAGAAGCGCCCCCCCCCCCCAAAAAAAAAGAAAAGGAATATGCTGCACACAAAACGAAGAACTCTTGGTCGATTCCACGTAAAACACCAAAGCTGGACTCAAATAAAAGGCTCGTTGCTTGTGGCTGCGTGCACACACGACAAAAAGTAGGCTTTATTGATATTATTTGAAGAACAGCAGAGTTTTTCCAAACCTCTTTTTGGTTTCGAAATATGGGAATAGATTCATTGTTGTAGGACCCACAGAAATGCAAATACGTAATACTGCAGAAGAATGTCTTAGGTGAAACATAGTAGTCGAAGATTTTGAGAGTTTAAAAAACGCAACAATACTGCAAAGCAAAGTCGTAACTAATGATAATCTTAATTGATAATATAAAAATGCAAGGTTTACATATTTAAAAAAACAATACATTTGGACTTAGGTAAATTGTAAAAAACGTAAAATATAGAGCCAGGATACAAAAGATAACATAAAACAAAGCAAACAAAACAACAGAGTTTAGGTTGTCTTTCCAAAATGCATTTAAATTTAAAAAAAGATGTTATGGTCGAAACATCGTTTGAAGGGACACTGAAGTGTAACAATGAATTGGCTTAGATTGATTAATTATGCACCGAGATCCCTAATGCTGCTAAATTTACCATCACAGGTTTAATACAAAAAGATTCAAGATCAAAGATTTATTTTGAGATTTCGCGTCATTATTTGCACGTTCTCTCGCTTACAAGCCTCTTCTAGGAAAAATTGTTTTTCTTCTTGGTGTATCGTCCAAAAATTAAGTGTGTAAAAAAATATGCACGAAAAATGACATACTTTTTACGCCACTGTAGCATTTTATAGCCTACTCAATTTTAGGTGCTGCTGTGCGCTTCTTCGTTTCTCATCCCGCGACTTGTTCAAACAGGTGAAGTATACGGCTCGTTGAATGCAAAGTTCACGAGTGCTAGGATTCAGTGAGCACGCTACGTACGACACGCCGTCGAATCCAGGAAACTCGTGCAGCGCCCATGACTTTGATGGTAGGACAAGACCACGAAGGTCACCGAGAGTGACAACCGCGTCAGACGAGGGACTTGAGCTTGTCTCGTCAGCTTCGTCGCCATCTGAAGAAGTTGCACCGTTGGTATCCACAAGGAGCTGTGCAGGAGTGCTAATGCGTCGCCGTTTTCTGTTGTCGTTCTCAGCCGGCACACAATGATGCCGCCGCTTTGTTTGGGTCCGCGGAGCCGGAGTTTTGAGCGTCAAATATGCAGGCAGGTTGGGCAAGATCGTCGGGACTGCATCAGGGGCAAGTGTCGGCGTTCCCCTAGGAATTCGGACTTGAACACCATTGATAACATGTACGTAGTCTCTCACAATGAAATGCGGTTCGAAATGTAACTCGCACACAGCACAATCGGCGTCAAGTGGCTTGTCAAGCCGATGGAGGTTCCGCTCCCAAAGAAGTCGTCGTTCTTCGTTGTTCGGGGCCTTAAAAAGCGATAACTTCCAACTTTGTTGCACACGCGGATATCCAGTTGTGCAACCTGGCGCGTAACAATGGTTTAGACGCTGCTTCTTCGACATTTCGCGACTAAAACCGAGATGCCGGCCATGCCGCCGAGCCAGCCGAGTAAACCAAGTGGGTAGATTGGGCGATGGCAGCGCCGCCGCTACTTTCGC